AGCGGCCCCCGCTGCCACACGCGGGCGGCAGGGGCGGGCCGAAGGCAGCAGGGCCGGCTCAGCGCAGCGCCGCAGCAGCGCCCCGCCGCCCGGGCCCGCCGCCGCCGCCGCCGGAGAAGCTGATGCTCCGCGCTTGGGGATCTGGCTTGTACCTGCAGAGGGGATGAGCTCTCTGACTGGAACTCAGGCACTGCAGTGCCACAAGCCTGCAGCCAGATTGCTTCTCCTTCTGCTTAAACTCAATGTTCTTTTAGTTTTGAGGGTTTTAAAGTATTCTTAGAGATGCTACACGTGAAGGAAATGAAGAGAAATAGATGAAAGCACCACTGGCACAGTAATTGATATTTTACTCTTCCTCTTTTCCTTTTAAAAATATATGTGGATAACGTGAAGTTTTTACCTTTGCGGTTTGGGGGAAACACTCTTTTTTCCCTTTCTTTGAAAGAGATCTGCAAGTCCTGAGACACTGGGCCAATGCTCCCTGCCTTTTATTGATGTTTTTACAATTAAACAAGGGGCAGATAAGATTGACAAGGAAGACACAACTCAGGAGCTCGCCAGGCAGCAGCCTCCAAACTCTTTGGGTGATGCAGAGAGCAGTAGGGTGGGAAGAGTGCTTTCCAGTCCGAGATTAATCCGTAATAACCTGCTCACTGACATCAAAGTCACTTCTTATCGGCCACTTGTTATTTCCTGAAGTGCAGGGGCAGGAGTGTTTGCCAAAGCCTGGGCAGAATGATGGAGAATATTCCTGTCAGATTACTCCTTCTCTTCTTGTGCCAGCAGGAGAAACCCATCCTTTGTTGCTGTGTGACAGCGTGCAGCTCAGAGCTAAAGTAGTGCCCAGGAGCGTTAATTATTTAATCTGCACTGCCCCCCAGCCCTGTGAGCTCTGAGCAGCGAAGAAGAAGAGCCAAGCTGAACAGTTTTTAAAACATTTAAAATAATTTTAAAAATTTCTAATTATAGAACAAATTATGCAATAAAAATAGTATATAAAAAGTGTTTCCAAAACCAGTGTGTGCTCTTGGCTGAGTGCCGAGTGCCACGATGCACCCGAGCGTTATCTTCTCTATATCTGTCCCCTACTGTCCTTTATTAAACTTTTAAGTTTTACTAAGAAAGTAAACCGCATTTTTCACGATCATTAAGGGATCTAAATGGATAGGGAAGCTCCGTTCTCCCCACGACTCAAGCCTTTGAACTGGCGACAAGAGGGAGTTTCCTTCGGTTTCATTCATGCCGCAATTGGAACAGAAGGGCGAGGATGAGCTGGCGCTGCCGCCGGACTCACCTGATCCCTGGGCATGGCAAAGGCCGCCAGCACCGAGCGATGCCGCCGGACGCCCGGCACTGCCTGTGCCGCGCCCGCCGGAGCCAGCAGCGCTGGAAGCTCCATGGAGCAGCTCAGCGCCTGCTCCGCGCTCGGCCCTGCGAGCCCGGCACGGAGCGTGGGCTCCGGACACATCCCCGTGGTGGGGCAGAGCCGCTGCTCGGGCCGGGCATCCTTGATCCGCCTCGGGCAGCTGCCAGGGGCCGAGGGCAAACTGCTGCTGCCGAGGTGAACCCTGCTGCTTCTCCTCTCGTTCTCTTGCAAAGATTTGTGTCATAACAAATTCCAAGAATTCCCGCCAGTCGTGTCCCTTATTCCGGTGACCGGTGAGTGATCTCTCCCTGGCCTTTCCCGATCCTCGAGCCTTTCCTGCTGTGTTCTGTCGCCTGCCCAGGGGCAGGCAGCAGGAGAGGCACAGAGCGGTTTTGCTGTCACCGGGCACCTGGCCCGGCCCAGCCCAGCGCAAGCAAGACTCCCTACCAAAGGTCACTGTTGAGAGCCCCAGAAGCTCCTCGCACGGGGCTGCGGTTTTTCGCGAGGTTCAAGGCCTTGGTGCTCTTTTGGTTATCGCGTTGTTCTGGGAACAGGAGCGACCTGACCGCATGTGACCTCTCCGCTCCTCCTGTGGCATTCTCCGCACGCTGATTGCTCAACACGACAAAACCAACTCGCGACACGCTCCTCTCCGCCCTGAGGCAGCAGCGGCAGTGCCCGCGGAGTCCGACCGGGTAGGGAGGAGCGGCGCGTTCGTCCCATTCCGCAGAGCGGCGGCGGCACCCGGAGCCCGGCGAGGC